ATTTCTTGTGCTCACTTTATGTCATACGTCTATACGAGCCTTGTTGAGTTTACTAACATTTTCGCCCGTGCGGAACGAATCTGGATTAAGCTCGATTGCCTCCCGTATGGGACTCCAGTGTTATGAAGGATCTTCCGAAATCTCAACTATAGCTGGATTGCCTCCCGTATGGGACTCCAGTACCTTCCGGCTCTGCCGGCTAACTAACACCAAACCTCTTCAGTTTTACTTGGAAGTGTGTATGACTAATATGAGGTAACAGATGACATTTAGTGACACACTAAATGAGACAGGTCTTATTTATCATTAGCAAAGGATCTTAATGTATGCCTTTGGTTAGCGGTTGTTTTGTATTTATATTTGGGTGGTAAGAGCAACGATCGTGGGTTTCTCTGCCATGCTCTTTCCCCACAGGAGCTCTAGGTGAGCCTGGCACTCTTATTCTATGTTAAATGGTTGTTAATGTATTTGTTGTTCTTTATATTTGTCACATGTTTAATTTGAAGACTGTTGTATGTAGGTAATAAAGTTAGGTGTATTTACTCTGCTATTGTTTTGTATAATTAAACCAAACATCCCCTCCACAAAGTTAGTAGCCAGTGCCTTCCGGTCAATTAAAAATAGATACACACAACGTAGGTAGTCCTTATGACGATCACATGTTTTTGGCCACAACTACGTTTACTTATTTTTTGTCGAACCTAGGGTTGTTATACTACAGAATGGTGCCGTGACCAGGATAGGCGCTGTACAGTGAAAGCTTTAAGGGGATGATTGGATGTTTATATTATAGCATGATACTGCTGTATTTTTTTTGTGTCTAGCAACAGCAGCAGCAGCAGTAGCCGGAGCCGTAGCAGGAGCAGTAGCAAAAGTAGGAGCGGCAACTGCACCAGCAGCAACAGCTACAGCAGTAGCTTAACAGCAGTCGCAGCCGAGACCTCATTAGTAACAACTTCAGTACTCCTAACGAACCCAGAGGCAGAGTAGGCATTTCCAGCGAGGGGCGACCGAGTCAGCTAGTTAAAGGACCAGAAGCAACACTTAAGCCACCTCCTCCTATG